GGTGGTGGTGGCATCGCCGCTACCGCTGCTACACGAGCTTCTTGGGCCTGACTGGAGCTGGCATCTCCGCCGGGAATCACCGTCGCCACTCCTACACCTTGGAAGTTAGGTGCGGAAGTGACCGGAGTCTGCGATGGGTCAGAGAAACCCGGAGGAGGGCCGTGCCCCAACGGCCTGGTCGTCGTCCAAGCTTCGTCGAACGTCGACTGCAAGTTTTTAGGAATTCCGTCCGCCATAACTGAGCTTCAAACACAACTTTTTGAACAAAGATCCCCACAGACGGCGCCAATAATGCAAGTGTAAGCGTCCTGGTCTGGTTTGGACAGATAGATCTTGGTCCTCGCCGGTAGAACGCCGGAAACCTGCAAATAACTCTCACACCGGGGGTTGTGTCCGGTGAAGAGCCTCCGATTCTTAAGTCAGTATGTGTATGAGTATACTGGAATTCAGAGAGTGAATAGAATGTGTTTGGGAAGAAAGGCTCACCCCCTTTATATAGGGGTGAGATACCTGCCCTAAGAGCTGCCCGAATGAGGTGAGCTGGCTGCCCAAGCTGCCCGTTCGTACTCTGACACGTCGCACACATGTCAGAGGTGGCGCAGGACGTTGGGAGTTGTCAGAGGTAGTAATCACCATCACCCAATACATTGTCGACACGTGTTTCCCCAGCACATGGGGTAAATATTCTCTGGAGATTTCAGTCAGAGGCTCCCACGCGCGCCTATGATACAGGCGCCCATAACTAGGTCGATTACAAATTCCTCGAAGCGATCACCCTGCTGGGATCGACTAGCTTGCTCGATCATTAGCCTGGTCGAGCGATGGATTGCTCGATCATGAGTCTGGTCGATTCCCTGAATGTTCGATCTTCCCGCCTTTTGGCTCGGCTCCCTCTTGGTTTAACCTTCTCGACCGGCCCAGAAGACCGGTTTAGCTTTATGTATATAATATCCCATATCAAGAAAGAAGGAATAAATAATGGTATACTAGAAAAACTAAATAGAAAAAATATAATACATTACGGAATAATGAATGGAGAACAACCGATTAGAATAGAACAAGCAAATTATAATTTTCAAGCACCCTTAGTTGAAATAAATCAAATAGAAAAAAGATTAGAAAAAATAAAAGAAGGAGATAGGAAAAGGATAAGTTATATACATATAAACACGGTACAAATAGTATTACGATCAACATTTAGAGAAGGAATAAAAACACCCGTAAATATAAGAGTTGAAGATAATAGAATTATGCATAAAGAATCAAGAAAGTTAGGAGAAATAGAAGGAGATTTAGGGTATGGAGTAATAAAATTTAATATATCATTACAATTTCCTATACCATTATCAACCAAGAAAATTAATAACTGTATAGGAATAATATGTAATTTTCAGGAAAAAAACATTAATGGAGTCAGGAGATATACCTATGGTTGTTTGTTATAGGATAGCCTATGCATTAAGTAATAGTAGTTTAAGTATGAATTATCAAAATCAAGAAAGAATATATACAGAAAAATTATTCAATGAAACCAGTACTATTATTAAAAAAGATAAAATTCAAAAAGAATTTTTAAGAGAACATAGTAGACGATCATTTAGTAATTC